AATTTTTTTACTAACTCTCAAGGCTTGGTTTGCTTAGGATGAAAATGGTGGGATGAAAGTGGTAGAAAGTGAAAGAATGGAAATTTTTCTAAGTTTGTTTAGCATCAAAGTGGTAGAAGTTTAAATTTGTAAATAAGATTCCAATTTCGTACAAAAAAACACAGGAAAATACAAAAAAAAAAAAAAGTTTAAATTTTATATAAAAGTAACTTATAATTAGAATTCTTATTTTCTTACAAAATTTTCCTCCTAATCAAATTTATACAAGAAAATATATTTTCTTTTCTTTTTCTTTACTTTCTATCATTTTCACTTTTCATAATTTATTTTTTTCTATTCAAACAGAACCCAAAAGAAGTCTAAATAACAAATAAATTTTACCAAAAAATTTAATCATTCAAAATAGGGTGAAATACCAATAAATCTCAAAATGTGATCTTGTGAACTGTTTAGTCCTTCCTTTTTTTCGTATGAATCCAAATGTCCCATTAAAGTAGAAATTATATAAAAGGGTAGTCACTTACATGTTTTGATTTAATTTTTTAGGGATAAAAGTGGATTTCTCAAAATGTAAAATTACACATTTGGATAATTTGCACTATAGAAGTTTTGGATTTTTCCTCATTCTAGAACAAATCCCACATTACTAACAAAAACCTAACACTCTACTATAACACTCCAATAATGTAACACTTCAATGTAAAACACTAAAAAACTCATTGATGTACTTTTTCCAAATATAATAACATAACACTCAAAAAAAAAAAATTGGTGTACTTTTCCGAAACGTAACGTTCCAATATAACACACCAAAAAAAAAAATCCTTAATGTACTTTTACCAAACGTAACACTCGAATCAGTGTAATCCCAAACGTAACACTCCAATGTAACATGCTTCAATATAACACACAAAAATACTAAAAAAAACTTCTTAATGTACATTTTCCAAACGTAACACTCACAGTTTAAAATTATACATTTATCCAAAACTTACTAAGGAATATTATTACTCATTTTTGAAATGTTTGAAAAATCTCACATTCTTTCTTTTTTAATGTTACATTAGAGTGTTATGTTTAAGAAAAGTACACTAAGAAGTTTTTTTTATTATAATTATTTATTTATTTATTGTGTTACATTAGAGCGTTATGTTTGAAAAAAGTACACTAAGAATTTTTTTTATTTTTTATTTTTTGTTTTTTGTGTTACATTAAAGTGGTACCCTAAGGAATTTTTTTGAAGTGTTACATTTGGAAAAAGTACACTGAGGAGTTTTTTTGTGTGTTACATTATTAGAATGTTACACTAAGAAGTTTTTGTGTGTTACATTAGAATGTTACACTAAGGAGTTTTTTTAGAATATTATATTAGAGTGTTACATGTAGGAAAAGTACACTAGAAATTTTTTTTGTATTACATTAGAATGTTACACTAAAGAGTTTTTGTATGTGTTATATTAGAGTGTTACACTAAAGAGTTTTTTTTTTTTTTTTTTGAAGTGTTATATTAGAGTGTTACGTTTGGAAAAAAATACCAAAGATTTTTTTTGTGTGTTACATTAAAGTGTTACACTAATGAGTTTTTTTTTAGTATTGTATTAGAGTGCTACGTTTGATAAAAGTAAAGTAAGGAGTTTTTTTATGTGTTACATTAGAGTATTACACTATGATTTTTTTTTTTTTAGTGTTACATTGGAGTGTTATGTTTGAGTGTTACATTAGAGTATTACAGTTTGAAATTATACATTTGGTCAAAACTTACCAAGTAGTTTATATACTCCTTATGAAATGTCTGAAAAATCTCACATCCTTTTGGAATGTTTAAAGAATCTCATATTTTAAGTCATTTTTGTATTCCTTTTGAAATATTTTCCAAATAAAAAAGATTTTTATATAAAAATTCATCCTAAATTTGATTCTCATATATTGTGTACCTTACCTTTCTAGCAAAAAAAAAAAAAACCATAATAGAAATAAGGGTATAACCGTAAATCTAATTTTTAAATAATATATTAAATCTACCTTTCCAAAATCAATGTGACTAATTGGTCTATAAAAAAATCCTTAAGATTAAATGGATCACAATTTTTCAAAATGAGATTTATATGTAAATTTTCCTTCAAAATATTATTATTTGTGAAAATGAAAATGATATGTCTACAGATTTTATATAAAGAAACTAACACAAAAACAATGTAACAAAAATAATATAACAATAATATTAATCGGCATTTTGACTTTCAATAAATAAATATAATTGGGTCATTTTAGAATGCACACAACTAAAAAATGTGTGTATCATATGACTTTTAATTTTAAATTATATTTGTTTCACTAAAATAAAATGGAATGAAACAATTGTTCTATCATGATATTTGTTTCAATGATTCAAACACTACGTACTAATAGTTTAAAAATGATGTTTTACCCCCAAAAAAATGTAAACAAATGAATTGCTTAATTATTTAAAAGTAATAGCTGGTTGCTTACTAAGATATTGTTTGAATGTACCAGCTACATTTTTTTAAATTTTTTTTTTTAAAGTTGAAATTTATTAAATTTTACAATTTAATGTAGTATGTCAAGAAAAAGTAAGAATAAACTAATAATTTTAACAATAAAAAAAATGTTCAAAATTTATCTCAATGTTAAAATATATATGTGAGTTGGGTCTATTTTTTAAATTCTCCTTAAGGTCTCGTTTGGCAATATCACTTTTTAGCCTAAAAGCTAAAAAATTATTAAAAAAATAAAAAGTCAACAATTTATACTAAAAAGTCTAAAATTCTATTTTTTTTCTATTTTTTATATATCTTTTTACAAAAAATCAAAAAATCATCTTGACTTTTTTTATATCATATTTTAACTAAAAAATTAAAAAATTACTTAAAAAACATGTTCTCAAATGAGACCTAAGTCTCAAAAAGGTCAGAGTGAGCCACAATATGTAAGGTATGACACTATAGCAAACACCACATAGAGTCAGATTAAAAATATTTTTGATCATAACTAAAATAATAATTATAAGCTAACACAACATAATGGGGGTATTTGTTTGGATTTTTTTCAGTCAACTTATAGCTTCTACCTTTCGAAAAGTTATTTTGGATTGTTTGGTTATATTTATTTCAAACAGTTTCTGATTCTAACAACTTATTTTAACTCAAAAAAGTTGATTCTGAGAAGCTTCTCATCCTTTACTGCTAATTATCAGCTTCAACTGTGGACATATTAATTTACGATTATACTCTTAGATTTTTTATTTTTTTATTTTTTTAAAAATAAAAAAAGACCCAAATGGACTATAGATTATTACTCTTTTTTTTATGAGAAATGTACACAAGTAGTGAATAACAAAAAAAAAATTAATTGAAAGGCTACTTCACAGCTTATTTAACAAACACTACTCAGCAACTTAAATCTATAATCCAACAGTTATACCAAACAGATTAACAGCTTCTGATTAAAGTCATAATCTATAATCTGTTAAGTTATAATCTATAATCTGTTTTAACAGTTACACCAAACGGGGCCAATGAAATTATAACTAACACGATAATATGTCATAATTAAAAATTACAAATGTTATAACTAGAGTCCATTGTATAAGGGTGTATATTATAAAATGTCCCATATAAAATAGAAGAAATTTAGAATGTGCATTTGCACCTTTTAAAATGGTAAATTGCAAATAAATAGTAAAGTTACGAATAAATAGTAAATTCATAATGTGCATCCAAAAATTAAGAAAAATTATTCAACACTCCTAAAACAAGTATAGATGACACTATAAAGAAATAGTTATTGATTCAAATCATGAAATCCATTAAGGGCTGATATTAAGCCTCTCCAAAACGACGTCGTTTTGGTGAGCAATTTCAAAAAAAAAAAAAAAAACAAAATTCAAAATATCAAATTGTTCCTATGAAGCATTACAAAGAGAGAGAGAGAAGAAGAAACTGAAAATATTAGGGCTTTGAAAAAAAACAGAGTGAGAGAGTGACAAGAAGATAATCCCACCTCTGTGGATCTGTGCTTGTAGTTGTATTTTTTTCCTAACAAGTTATCGGGCATCAAATTGAAGAGAGAAGGCATGGAGGTGGGCTTTGGAGGAAGAAAATACTGTAATTAGCATTGGAGAGAAGGTATCAAGTTATGAGTTTATCTTCTTCTCTCTCTCTTCTTGTCTCTCTCTCTCTTGGTAGCTTGGGCATCAGATTAAAGAGAGAAGGCATGGAGATGGGTTTATCTTCTACATAGGATATATTCACAAAAAAATCCAAAGAAATCAAAAAGGATATATATATATATCATATATCCATAGAAATCCAAAGAAACCCAGCTCGAAAAATCCAAAGAAATTAAAAATAAATACAAAAAAAAAAAAAGAACACAAAAATTGAAAAGAAGAAAAATATAGCTCACAAGGTTGAAAACCCGCAAAGGGCGGCCTTGGCAAAAGTTAGAGCATAAAAGGAGAGGTTAAATACCCGAGTGTACCTTAACCCCAAACTACGTAAGGCTTGATTCCAATGTTTGGGATACGTAGGCAACGTTTTTGGTTTGATTTTACTTTGTTTTCTGTAGGCAAATAGAATGCGTCAGGATCCTCTGAAGTATAAATCCTACAATGATCTCCTAAAGTGATTCATCTAAGTTTTTTTCAATTTACTCACCAAAACGACGTCGTTTTGGTGAGGATTAATATCAACCCTTAGATGAATCACTTTAGGAGATCATTGTAGGATTTATACTTCAGAGCATCCTGACGCAATGCGCTGCATAATTATAGGAGACATTTGGTAAATCTTGGTAGAAATTTTGACCATTTTCTTTTCAAAATTTGAGAGAGAGCTCGCAAAGTCGTCACTGTTGTATAAGTGTCCGTAACGGCTCTGGATTATGTTAGTCCATCAAATGTCTACTATCATGCCAACCCTCATTCACTACCCAAATCTCCATCTCTCTCTCTCTCTCTCTCTCTCTAGATATTTGCCCCTCTCTTTCTCTCTCTACATTCACACTCATTCCATTCGAAACCCCACGCACCCCTCCCCTCTCCTCTATAAAAACCCCAACCCCACAACCCCTCTCTCTCCACACCAACCCCACACACAATCTCTAATTCTCTCTCTCGCATTTCTGCTCCGCCATGTCTCAACCATTGTTGAAAGACGATCTGGACATCGTGATTCCGACGATTCGGAGCCTAGATTTCTTGGAGATGTGGAGGCCGTTCTTTCAGCCATACCATCTCATAATAATCCAGGATGGGGATCCGAACAAGGAGATCAAAGTACCGGAGGGGTTCGACTACGAGCTCTATAATCGGAATGACATTAATCGGATCTTGGGGCCTAAGGCCAGTTGTATCTCCTTCAAGGACTCCGCTTGTAGATGCTTCGGATTCTTGATCTCTAAGAAGAAGTATATCTTCACCATTGATGATGACTGCTTTGTAAGTCTTCACTTCACTTCTGCTTACCCTTACACATACCTAATATATATATATATGTATATATATATATGATTTCAACCGGTTTGACTCCTCGATCACATCCTCTTCAACCAAAATGCCTGGGGAGAGGGGAAAAAAAATTTGTTAAGTTTATATGTTTGAGCGGGAAACTGTCTAATTTTTATTATTAGGGAAAAGATAGGGATCTTGAAAATTTTGTCATGAAAATGATCATGAAAAATTTATGATCCTTGGATTACCTTGATTAGTGTGTGGTACTTTATTCTAAGTGTAATCCAAGGATCACAAAGTTTTCATGATTATTTTCATGAAAGGTTTTTCATGATACCTATCATTATTGTTATTATTATTATTATTATTATTTTTGTTACGATTAAAAATGTTTTCTATGATTAACGAGAAACAAATTCATTTGAAAAGAATTATGTTTTTCATTTTTGGAAATGATCAAAAATCTTGTCAAACATCACTATCCATCCACCACCCCAGCACCTCTATCCCTGAGGCCATTGATTGGCTTAGCGTATGTTTGGGAAGTTGGGTTTGATGCTCTTTTTGTCTTTTTTTTTTTTTTGGATTAAAATAATCATAAAAAATAAAATAAATTTTTTAATTTAATAAGACAAAACATCACATCTAATCCATAATCATTATATTCTTTCTCTCAAAAAAAATTAAAAAAATCAAAACTTCTTTCCAAACTAGATTTTTTAACTTCAGGCTAAAATAGTCCAAAAAAACCAACTTACTTCTCAAACGAAGCCTTAATAGGTGTAACTTGGGAGTCTTGAGCGTGCTTCTTCCATATCTCAAGTTCAATTGTCACTAGGTATTATCAATTTTTTGGAGTCACATTTATAGTTATGTTTGAGATTTGCCCAATTCATATAGAGTGACACTTTACATATGAGTTCTGAAATTAATCAAAATACGTGTAAATTAAGAAAAGAGATCGTTAAGCGCCAAGGCCGAAAGAGTGGCTTTTGGCCTAAATTTAGAAGGGTTCAAATTTTACATTGTCCAAAAGTAGATTAATATTTGGATTATTCTACTGATGTAGACATGACTCTCAGAATTTATCAAGAATTAGAGTGTGTATTGAATTGATGTAGTGTCTGTTCTGCATATAGAATGAATTTAAATTATAAGTTGATTTTCTGACCAAAAAATCTAAGTCCTTGTTTAGAATGAAGGTTAATTTTTTGACTTTTTGACTATTTTAATTTAAGGTTAAAAAGCTTAATTTGGAATAAGTTTTTTAACTTTTTTGACTTTTGTGAAAAAAAAAATGAAATAATTATGATTTGAATGTGATATTTTATCTTATTAATTTTTTAGCCTATTTTATCTTTTTGTGACTAAAATAACTCCAAACCAACATGCCAAACATAGCCTAAGTTTGTAGTGGTGATGTTAATAATTTGTCCTAATGATAAAAATCTCCTTTTTAATAGGTTTAATCCAAAAAAAAAATTTGTTTCTCTAAAGTCTTACAAAAATAACCCAGTCATTGTCTAGACCCAACTAAAACGCAGAAAACAATAAATCTCTTTCTCAAAAAAACCTTTCAATAGTTTAGAATTTTTTTTTTTTTTTAAATGAGAGTAGTACATTAATAAAAATTCTATAAAAGAGAACTAGTATTTATGTCAAAGTTATAGAATTTATTATTCTTTTTATAAACTTCAGGGTGGCCAATGTAATATTACAACACATTATTAAAATTCAAAATTAATGATAATAAATCTAACAATTTTTTAATTTAAAATAAAAATGAGTTGATGTTGCTCTTCTTAGTCATTGATTGCAATAATTTAGATTTTTTTTAAAAAAAAAAAATGAGAGTAGTACATTAATAAAAATTCTATAAAAGAGAACTAGTATTTATGTCAAATTTATAGAATTTATTATTATTTTTATAAACTTCTGGGTGGTCAATGTAATATTACAACACATTATTAAAATTCAAAATTAATGATTATAAATCTAACAATTTTTTAATTTAAAATAAAAATGAGTTGATGTTGCTCTTCTTAGTCATTGATTGCAATAATTTAGATTTTTTTTTTTAAAAAAAAAAAATGAGAGTAGTACATTAATAAAAATTCTATAAAAGAGAATTAGTATATATGTCAAATTTATAGAATTTATTATACTTTTTATAAACTTCAGGGCAGTCAATGTAATATTACAACACATTATTAAAATTCAAAATTTATGATTATAAACCTGGCTATTTTTAATTTAAAACAAAAATGAGTTGATGTTGCTCTTCTTAATCATTGATTGCAATAGTTTAGATTTTTTTTTTTTTTTAAATAAGAGTAATGCATTAATAAAAAATTTATAAAAGAGAATTAGTATTTATGTCAAATTTATAAAATTTATTATCCTTTTTATAAATTTCAAGGTGATCAATGTAATATTACAACACATTATTAAAATTCAAAAGTAATGATTATAAATCTGACTATTTTTTAATTTAAAATAAAAATGAGTTGATGTTGCTCTTCTTAATCATTGATTGCAATAGTTTTAGATTTTTTCTTTTTTTAAAAAAAAAATTTTGAGAGTAGTACATTAATAAAAATTCTATATATGTCAAACTTATAGAATTTGTTATTCTTTTTATAAACTTCAGGGTGGTCAACGTAATATTACAACACATTATTAAAATTCAAAATTAATGATTATAAATCTGACTATTTTTTAATTTAAAATAAAAATGAGTTGATGTTGCTCTTCTTAATCATTAATTGCAATAGTTCAGATTTTTTTATTTATTTTTTTAAAAAAAATGAGAGTAATGCATTAATAAAAAATTTATAAAAGATAATTAGTATTTATGTCAAACTTATAGACTTTATTATACTTTTTATAAACTTCAGGGTGATCAATGTAATATTACAACACGTTATTAAAATTCAAAATTAATGATTATAAATCTGACTATTTTTAATTTAAAATAAAAATGTGTTGATGTTGCTCTTCTTAATCATTGATTGCAATGAACATCTCCACTCCATCCTGTAACGGGGAGTATCCGAATCCAACATCCAATTTCAAAAATCATTGCATGTTGTTGATTTTATATACATCTCAATTCTTGTGTTACAAAACTATTCATAATTCATTTTATCTGCCTTGTTTTGTTCTGTGTGTACATGCAAATCAATTAAAAGGTGGCAAAAGATCCAAGTGGAAAAGACATAAATGTATTGGCTCAGCACATACAGAACCTGTTGACACCATCAACTCCATTCTTCTTCAACACTCTCTATGATCCCTTCAGAGAAGGGGCTGACTTTGTTAGAGGGTATCCCTTCAGCATGAGGGAAGGTGTTCCCACAGCCTTATCTCACGGATTGTGGCTCAACATCCCTGACTATGATGCCCCTACTCAGCTTGTCAAGCCTCTCGAGCGCAACACTAGGTACCTACCCTACTACCATCAACATTTCCATCTAATTTTTTTATAGTTTTCAATCCGACCTTCGAATTTTTAGTGTATAATTCAAGCTTTTAATTTCTCTGTTTTTAACTTTCATGTCAGTGTAATCCAATTAATGATTAAGTGGTTAACAAGAAAATGACAAAATGGGTAGATCTTGAAACATTTTTCACTAAATTTGAAACACTTTTCTATGAATTTCATTACAATTTTAATACATTTCCAATATTGCTTACTAATTGACCTATTTTTGGGTTTATACTAACATGAAATTATTAACAAGTGAGAAAAATAGGGTTTTGTTAATGTGTAAACAAGTTTAAAACAATTATATATTCTTCACAAACAATTTCATGTTAAACTATTTAATATAAAGAATAGTTGGAAGGGCTTAAATAGAAAAATCAAAAGTGACAAATTGATATTGGAAGGGCTTAAATAGAAAAATCAAAAGTGACAAATTGATAAGTGTACCCTTATATTTAAGTTTATGTGAATCCCATCGATATCAAATTATTCACATAAAACACAAATAAAATATGATTAAAAATTAAACTAAATGATAAGTGGGGTGTGTTTTTGACATTAATATCCAACCATTTTTGGTGCATGGTTGAATTGCAATAATATTAGCTCAAACAGGTATGTGGATGCTGTGATGACAATTCCAAAGGGGACCCTGTTCCCAATGTGTGGGATGAACTTGGCATTCAACAGGGAGCTTGTTGGACCTGCTATGTACTTTCACCTCATGGGTGATGGCCAACCTGTTGGCAGATATGATGATATGTTTTGTGGTTGGTGTGTCAAGGTATATCTATATCTATATCTATATCTATATCTTCTTCATTTGCTTCCTTCATTCATTTATACAGCCATTTTCTTTCTCATCATTGTTCCTTGTTCTTTCCCCTAACCCTTCCAAAATCTTTACTTTCTAGATTTTTTTTATCACTAAATACAACATTAGTGAATTTGTTACTTTCGGGAAGAAATTTTGATTAAAAGAAATCCATTTGTAGCATTTTTCATTTTGAAAATGTCATAAGCAAAGAGATGTGATTTCACTTTGTGTGGTGTTCTAAGGACATAGTTTGGTTGTGTTTTCATTTTCTATTTTTATTTTCGTAGAAAACACATCAAAGCTTATTATTTGGTGAATTGTTTTCGAGAAAGGTCCCTAATTTCACATCGGTGTATGTTTGGAAAAATTTAATATGTTAATAGCATTACTCAAATCTCTTTCATGGGAATTTGAAATCTAGTCTAGAACTTGGTTGGCATATGTTTTGTGACAATTTCTTCTTGGGATTTAATTTTTACAGGTTGTCTGTGACCACTTGAACCTTGGGGTGAAGACAGGGCTGCCATATCTGTGGCACAGCAAAGCAAGCAACCCTTTTGTCAATCTGAAGAAAGAATTCAAAGGCATATACTGGCAGGAAGAAATGATTCCATTCTTCCAGGGGGTTACGCTTCCAAAAGATTGCACAACTGCTGAGGAATGCTACATTGAGCTGTCAAAGCAAGTGAAGGAGAAGCTGAGCTCCATTGATCCTTATTTTGAGAAGCTTGGGGATGCCATGGTTACTTGGATTGAAGCTTGGCAGGAATACAACCCACCGCTGGTGGCGAAAACAGCAGATGGGCCTGTTGTTGTGAAGAAGGGTGGTGGTGAGCCTACTCCCAAAACTACGTAGACAGGTTCTTGGATGTTCCTGTAGTTTGATTTCATTCTCTGCAGTTTTTACCAGTTTGATTGTTATGTTTGGTTGTTGGTTGTTTTCAATGATTTTGTGTCCCTTTTTGTGTTCTATCAATGTTCAAGTCTCCTTTTAAGGTACCTTGGAAAGAAATAAAATATTTTGCACTGTCTTTTTGTGCTCTATTAATGTTGAAGAAATATTTTGCATACTCTTTTTTTTTTGTGCTCTATTTTAATGTTCCAGTCCGTCGTCTCTCTCTTGAAAAATGAAATGGACATGTCTCCATATCGCACATGTTGTTGGGCTCTACGAGGCCCATCACATTTCAGTCTTCACTTCATGTCGTTGGTCTATGTATATAGATCAACAATGAAAAAAACAAACATCAATTTCATTTCATTATTCTTGCCTTTTTAATTATAAAAAAAAAAAAAAATAGTCATAGATTCTATATTATGCTGGTCGTCTAATTTTTTGTACACAAATGATTCTATTATTCATCTATACTTATTAAATCAATCTAGTTTTTTTCATAAATAATATTCAGAAGTTTATAAAATGAATAGATTAAATCATTAAAGTCAAATTCATAATGAACTCCACAAATGAAGGTGATTTTCTTTCTTTGTCCTCATTTCGTAGTTATATGCATGTCACATTATTAACTTTTATTAAAGAATTATATGATAGAGTAACAAAATGATCATTGTTCAAAAAAAAATAATAACAAAAGGAGAATATTGACATTTGATCAGAAGTGTAAAAAGTTGGCCAAATTGAGATTTGATGCAAATTACATAGGTGCTAAGTGTAATTTACCCATAAAAGTAATATAAAAAATTAACCTTCAAAGAACCTGTAACGGAGCTAAACTAAACAATGTTTAGAGATGCACTTTTTATAGATTATCATCTTTTAACATTCACAATCAGCGGAATTCTTTGTTCCCAAAATCTACTTATTCAACACTCCCATATAATACCATAATCAATTGAACACTTTCCAATACATGAGCTTATATAGGAATTTGATTTTTATTTTTATTTTTAGTTTTTGAGGGGTGAATTTAATTCCGTTGGAGGAAATACTTTAATCACAAACCCATTCATTTTTTTATTTTTCTTTATTTCATACATATGTTTTGTATATGTTGACAAGTAACACCACCACAGACCAATATTGCCTACATCAGTCATCTGTCTTCACTTCCACATCTACCCCATCCTTGTAGATCAGAAAACTTGATATATGTATTTCCAATCCTCATACAAAATAAAATACATAAAATAAACAAAAAAAAACATTTTAAAATTTTAGATATTCTTAATGAAACAAAAAAATAAAAATAAAAAGAGCTAAAAGGGGGCAATTATACCACTGCACATAATACAGGTAAATAGACAATAGTCAGAGCATCAATGAACATTGCTCCATATAATGCAAGTTAGTTTACAAAATGATAAATAAGCGTCGACTTCCTAAAACATGGTTAAGTGTTGTAGCATAAATATTCGCTATAGATACAATAATACTAACCAACAGTGAGCAATATCCATAACAGAGCGAGTCAACGCGAGAACCCATCAAATTACACATAGTAGCTAAATTCCACTTGGAAAGATACTGAAACAACCTCAACAAAACAACTTAGCTGCCACTGTCAGGTTTTGATATGTCCTCTATGATGCCTTTCCCGTCCATAGCATCGAAAAAGAAGAAATTCTTTAGGGGATCGCCTTTGCCTGATATTGCTTTAATAACTTCCTACAAATCAAAATTGTTAAACATATTAATGATCTATAAGCACGTTTTAGGAATGAGGATGTAACTGAGAAAATGCAATGACTTGATTTTTCTCACCTGACCAAGAATTCCCCCAATGACAGCACAAACTGGAGGGAATTCTGTTGTACACGACACCAATCTCTCAAGGAGAGAATCAGGAATGAGAGACTCATTTAGTGACTGCAAGGGCGGAAATTTAGCAATTATAAGAAGATGCTCAGCACTTTACTATAATTGGGATCAACAAAATCTCGAGTAACATATTACTTGTGCCTCGAAGAGTTCCTTCCTCAACTTCAAAACCTTAGGAAGGTCGTCCTTTGAAGTTTGTCCAGGATCACGACCCTCAGCCTCTTCAAACTGTTCTATTACTGCAAAAACAATCACCAAGTTCAAACAGTTCATAAAACTAAAAAGTTAAAAATAAAAAAAATAAAAAAATCGACAATAAAGAATGCAAAGCACCAAACAGAGGTGGGGAGAGGGAAGACTTGAGATAAACATTACAATTTCTCCAATGTACGATCCAACAAACAATTAGTCAGGGAAAACAAATTGGGAAATTAGCAGTGACGAATATCGTGAGGGAGGGGGATAGACTACCCTTCTTTCCAGGTTGCAAGAAAATGTCAAGAGGAGTACTGCGATTTGGTTATCTCAACTCAATAGAAAGGGGATTGGGGGAAAGAAGAAGAAAAAGACTTCCTAAGCAGAGTCAGATACTGTACAAGTGAAGTTTTCTGATCTCATAATCCTAACTTTCATGTAATTTATCACATTTCCGTTTGTTGAATTTCACTGTTACAAACAACTCACACTCCTCCCCAAAATTATTTTTGTGAAAAATATTTTTTTTTACAAGAAAAAAACAGAAAAGATAAGTAAAGAAAACCAGTATTTAAATGTCATACCTCGCATAGCAAAGTATAGCTTTGACATTCTCCTTGGAAGGGATTTCCAAGGTACTGCAATTGCATCCTGCCATAGAATTATCTCATGTAAAATATCATATACTAACAAACTGAATTCAAATTGAAAAATTCTTCAGAATTTTTTTTTTTTTATTGGCACTAGAGTGTCTGGATCAAAGCCCAACTACTCCCCAAGGGTGCACAGGCCCTCGGCAAGGAGTTTTTCGCAAGTGCACCATGCTTAATTCAAGAATTTTCTCCCAAACAGATGGCCCCAAGAAATTGTTAGCACCTAAGAAGTTTCGATCCCTACACCTTGGAGGGAGCACATCCTCAAGACCCAAGGTCTTGCCACCAAGCCAACCCGTTGGAGTTAAAAATTCATCAGAATTTGATAATCATTGACCTGCAAATGTGTGATAAGACAACATCCAAAATATAAGTCATACCTCAAAACTGGGATACTGAAGTTGGCATTCAATAGTTTCGTCAAGCTTTTTCTGCAAATAGAAAAAAAGAATTAAAAAAGACAATATTAACTATCTACAGAAGGTATTTAAAGGATAAAAATCTATACCAGCTATAACTTCATAGAATATAAGTATGTGAGTAAAAATTTTGGTAGAACCATCAAATGAGCTTTTCCAGACAAGCAAAACAGAAGATTCAAGCATTTAGCATATAACACTTTTGAAGGGGGGAAATATTTTCTGATCAGGCCCCCAAACTCTGGTCCCAGTTACTGAAGAGGTAAAGGGTATAGAACATGCAGGACTCCTAGAGCTAGAGGTGTGAAAGTTAGTTCACAACAAAGCCAGTTAATAGTAGTACAACATATTGTCAGTTAAAAAGATTGGTTACTGTATAACCTTCAACAGCAATTAAATATCTCAAAATGTTATAATGAATGCCTTCAATGAGCAAGACAAAAGGCCCAAGGAGTACGGCTGTACAAAAAATCGGGTAGAACTGGTAATCTGGATCACACCAGATTAAACCACACGGTTTGGTTCGGTTCTGTCCAGGACTGGTTCGGTCCCGGTTTAAAAAATTTTAGGAACCGTATAAATGGTTCAGTTAATGGATTTACTGTAAAAACCCGCAGTTCAAACCGAACCAAAACCCGGCTAATCCCCAAGGGTGCACAAGCCCTCAGCCTTTCTTGCAAGCTATGTTACACGGACTCTCTGTTTTTTGAGAGGTACACGACACAAGTATGGGTGCGGAATACGGCTAGGATACGACTAGATACAAACGAATACAGTTGAAACTCAGAGATGGAGAGAGAGAGGGGGGGGCTGAAAATCACCTTCGCGAAGCAAGTCGAGTCGCAAAGCAAGATCGAAGCGCAAACCTTAGTTGTAAACTCAACCAAATCAAAGGAGATCTAAAAACCAATATCGGGAAGTCGATTCCACCTAAAAAATGACACTGGGGCTTCGATTCTCCTTTGCTCTCTCTCTCTCTCTCCTATCTTCGTGTTTTCTTCTGTTGACTCGTCTTCTCTTCTCTCTGTTCGTTTTCTCTACTTTTTAATTAGATTTATATTATATAATATAAATGATATTAATATAATAATATATAATATTATTCACCCAAAACAAATATTGTATAATATAATATATCAAAAGTAATATAACTTTTATGCCTAAAATAAAAACAAATTATTTTATCACATGTAATATAATTTATTTTATGCCTAAAATAATTTTTATAATTTTTATTTGTTTTTTTTTTTTGACAAAATCTATTATTCCTTAACTTTTTTTAACTTATCTTCATATAATAAATATATTTAAAAAATAACTATTTAAAGTATCTCCGTACCCGTATCCAAATTTAGATCTATATCCACGTATCTTCAATTTTTAATTTTGAAGTGTCCGACGCCTAAATACGCACCCGTGTCCGCACCTGCGCCCGCACCCGCACCCGAGTTCGTATAACATAGCTCACAGGTGCATCATCGTTAATTCAAGAATTTTCTCCCAATCCGATGGCCACAAGAAATTGGTAGCACCTAAGAGTTTACAATCCCTAAACCTTGGAGGGGCACCCCTAATACTCAAGGCCTTGCCACCAGGTGCCTCTTTGTCTTGTTGACTATTCGTCTTCTTGCTATTTTGACGTTGGTAAGAACAATTTTGAACTTGTTTATAATTGTCATGCTTGGATTGGTTATTGGAATCAACTTTTAACAAGTTGATCTTTTCTTTTCTTGTTTTTGGTGTTGATTCATTATTTAATGTTTATTATTTTTCCTTGTAAGTTAAAAGTTATCATTTTATCTTAATGGAATAGTGATAATTTTATGGAACTGTTAACCGATCTGGGACTGAACCGTTTTTCCAATTTGGTTCTGGTTCTGGTTCGGTTCTATAGATGTGAACAGTTCAGTTTTGTTCTCAAAATTCAAGAGCCGTAAACACCGGTTTGGTTCCTGGATTCCCTTAGAACTGGACCAATCCAAACTGTGTACACCCCTACCAATGAGAGTAATTAATTACACATAACAACAAAAGTAATGGTTCAAATGGAGAAGAGTAGATATAAATTTAAAAACCAGCCAAAAAAAATTAAAGCCTAATTGTCCATTATTAGAGTTCGTATCACACGACACCTGCTCATAACAATTCAAGGTTGACAAAAAGGAGAGTGGAGCATTACAGCCTATACAAAGAATATAGGGGAATAATCCAAAAACAAGAATCATAAAAAGATAGATACTGAAAAACCAAAAAGAAATAGATTGTCACCTTTGAATAGGTATAGTTCTGCAAATCAACAAAAATTTCACCGCAGGAGTCTCTGCAGTCTACTGTATAAAATGCAACACGCTTTGGCAACTTGCGGCATTTCTCATTAATCAATCTCTAAGGTAGAAGCAAAAAGCACATACACAGAGTTAGGTACTAACACATTTTATTGCCGAATATATCACATTATATGAGAAAAAAAGAGTTAGGTACTTTACTTTTGCAGTAATGGAGCAACAACTGACAACCACGACATCAAACTTGTCATAAAAATCTACGCCAAAGCTAGACAAATCTCCTGTAAGAATAAGATTTGAACCTCATCACATTTTTTTCATTTAGAAAACTCACCAATGACAACATTAAAAACAACTAATAAACAGAAAATTTTATCAAAACAGAGAGATTAGAACAAGAAAAAGGATGCCAATATGTCATCAATATCGTTGTGCCTGCACTAGGATCTAGATTGCAAGTGCGAGTTTATATTTCTTCCCCAAAAAGTATCTATTGTTGGCTCAAATCCATCAAAAATTCTTGATGAAAAGCAAAGAGTGCTTTTTTCAACTCGCTGATGTGTCTGGGGCATGATTGGTTGAGTTCTTAGAACAAATTATACAATTTAGCATAATAGATTAAAAATTATACCTTTGAGCATAAGATTTAAACATGTTTGGTGCAGTGGTTAGATTATAGATTTAAGTTGTAGAGTAGTGTTTGTTTAAATTATACCTTTGAGCAGAAGCTTTGAACATGTTTAGTGCAGTCATTAGGTTATAGATTTAAGATGTAGTGGGGTGTTTGTTTACATACATTGTAAAGTGGTTTTTTGTTGTGTAATTGTCCTTTTTAACCTTAATAGCCATAGAGGTTCAGAAGTGGGAGAGAAATAAAGGGTAGGCTATTTATATAGGGGCATCATAGTAATTTTTAAGAAAGATGAGAGGCATTTAAATAAACTTTTTATTAAAAAAAACTTTTTGCATAAGCGAAAAGCTGAAAAACACCCCTAATCAGCTTTTTAAAATCAGCTTATTTGAAGACATCAAATGAGGAGAAATAAGCTAAAGCTATTTTACCATAAGAAACATCAAACGTGTTATTTCAGCTTAACTAAAGCTAAATGTCACAGTTTTTTAGCTGCAACAAACTACCTCCTAGTCTGTGTTTTAATCACTCTGGTACCATCACAGTGCCTCAATGCCATTTCATCAAGCTAACATCATGGGCTGATTCATAATATATCATTGCTAGTGTGTGATCAAATCATGAAACAAGCAAGAAGTAGGCAAAAGAGAGATTGCAACCCACAGCACAGGTAAAGGAATTAAGCACTACTAGCCGTTAATAAAGTTTGACTTTAAAATCATAAAATAAATAAATAAAAGGTACAACGTACAGAGAAGCAGACCATTTTCAACAGAAACTCGAACCATAGGATTGAAATCTTTCAAAGAATCACAACAGAGCTCGGCAAGAGATTTCCCAGTAAATTCATTGTCATCGGGATCAATTAAGAAATTTGCCGAAAGTGCTTCTTTAGTCACCGGGCGATCATCAATTAATGTCAAACTACCTACGCCTGCTAAGACAATATTCTTGCAAAACTGCCACAACATAAAATATCAAATTTAGTATAAATATAGGCATATGGGGATGGATATGTTTACATCTAACCTAAAAATTATAGTTTTATGCCCTTCATAACTTTTTGAACATCTTACATTTCACAAATTTCACGTATTAAATGCTCCTCTTATGCCCTTCATGCTTGCAAACTTTTAGGTTGATGATAGAAAAAGAGCTATATCATTCATATAGCTCCCAAAATAAGTAATGTTATTTTTATTTATCAAAAAAATAAGTAATATTATTTTGAGTATATTACAGCAACAGTCCATATAGTTTAAGCAAAGTTTCACTTTGGTCCCCACAATTTCAATTTGAACAATTTTAACCTTACACCTTTAGGCGAGTTTCAATGTGATCCTTCAATCAACCGTATATTATAATTAGCCATTAGAAATCTTGATGGAAAATTATCACGTGCACATCACTTGACAAGGATAAAGTTGTCATTTTATCCATGCATTGATTCTAGTTTATTTCTCACTTTCTTCCTCAACTTCAATGAACACCCGCTTAACACAATGCTCCTTCTCTCTCCAAAATCCTCTATCTCACTCGTCCCAAGAATCCATGGCTAAAGTCAGTCACAACCTCCATCCATCATCTCCAGTGATCAGCACCGAATCCACCATCTCTATTCTCTATCTATCAATCTATCTATGTGCAAACACTCATGAGTGAGTCTTGCTACAGCCACACTTTTTTACAACATTTATTACCACCTACTCACAATGGGAGTGGATCCTGCATCATCACATGATATGGGGCCCACTTCTATTGTGAGTAGGCGGTAAAAAATGTTGTGAAAAAGTGTGGTTGTAATCCTATTCCTCATGAATCATTCAGATAAATATAAATTAATAGACAATTTTCAACAAACAATAATTTAAATATATAAAAATATGTCCCTCCCTCACTCTCCCTATGCATAAATACTCATGAATCATTCAGTTAAAAATCAATTAATAGACAATTTTCAACAAACAATAATTGAAATATATACAAATATTTGTATGTATGTATGTCGACTATACACGCATGCACAATTATGAAAAAGTGTAAAAATGATTCACATACTACAAATTCTCTCTATTGAGGTAGACATTGACCCCCCAAACCTCCGCAGGAACTTTAGCATGAACTACAACAAAGATTCAACAACATTGTAGAACCTTGGAGGAGAATATGTTTGACAAATACCACATTCCATCAATAATGTCATCACTGATAGTGCCGAAGGTAAGGTCCAATACAATGCAGATGAAAGATAAAAGTCTGTTTAGGAGAGATCTCAATCGTCAGTTTGGAATTCATAGCGAGATGAGCAGCTTGATTTTGGTGGCGGAGTTGAATGTGCCATTGGGTTGGAGAATTCGGGTAAAGGAGAGGTGGCTATGATGCTAAGATACAAATGGCCTCCATGGAGATGATGGTTTTAGAGAGAGAAGGATGTTTGTTGCAAACGCCGATTAAAGCCTTTGGATTTCATATAAAAAATGAGGCTATCATCTCCATAGAGGGAAAATAAATATATTTGTTTGATGCCTTCTATGTTACACAGACTCGGGTGCGGGTATTAGGTACAAGTGCATATCTAGGGATCAAACACCTCAAACTATAAATGGAGGATATGTGGATATGGATCCAAATTTAGATACGAGTATGGGGATACGTTAAATAATTATTTCTTAAATATATTTCTTATATCAACTTGAGTTAAAAGTTTTTTTTTTTTAAAGGTACATCACGAGTTTAAAAGTATACCCAATAAATTTTTTATATATAATTTATAGACCCCACATATATATAAGTCACATATCAGCCCATGTTATCAAAAGAGATGTTGGCCAATTACAAATAATAAAACACTAAAAGGCCCAAACTTTTATGGATGTGCAAAGTTTGTTAATAGGCCCAAATTTTTGTTTTATTTATTTGCGTCTAGCTCATTAGCCAAATCCAATAAAATATGTTGTGTTGTATAGCACCTTAATATCTCCATCTGTATTTTGCAGTCTCAATAACGATTGAAACCATTGAAACCAATCAGTCAAAACTCTCTCCCTCTCTCATGCACATCACAATCAACCTCGATCTTGATTAAAACCCTAAATATATCTCTCTTCAAACCCTAGATTATGTCGTCACTGTGCCGAGATTCAATCATCATGTGATTCAATTCAGCAAATTCAAACCTTCAACCCAACACATATGGAAGTTCTTTTGTAAGTAGGCAACCACCAACCTTCTTCCTTTTTGATTTAGCCATGTCCAAGAGAGAAGAGGCAAATCCAACACAGATCACACACCCGCACCCGTGTCGTGTCGTGTCGACATGGGTACTTCGCCCCAAACAGCCAAGTCCATGTAACAGAGGATGCCTTAGTTGTGGTTGGATGGATTAGCAACTGGGTTAGGTTTATGTATTTCTAGATATATAGAAAGCCTTTTCTTGCTCGTGGCTTAACATTCCATTTTCCAACTTTTCCCTCCCTTTCCCACCCTTTCTTCCCTTCCTAGTGCCCAAAATATTCACTGCTTCCTGTTTTGCACAGTATGCATTCTATGCTGTAATATAAAGCATACAGCTTTTTGAAGCTTTGTCACGTTTTTTGTATACTCAAATAGCCCTTAGCAAATAAATATCCCTCTCCTTGTTAAACTGCTATAAGTGGGATAGTGGGAGAAAAAATAGGGCTATAGATAATTTCTCAGATCCTAACAGCTTCAAACTTAATTAACTGTCATGAGATGACACACATGTAATGAGTGCCCACACCTTTAGTTTATCTATATATTACATACATGTTACATTTAAATTAGATATAACATGCATGAGGAATTGTTGGAAGGTGGGGAAAATTGCAAAAAAGTCTTCCAAAAACACATGTGAGATGCACGTGGATTTTTCTGTCTAGAATCTTAATAAATCAGGACTACATAATGCAGATAGGCTACTCCACAAATCTATCAGGGAACATTGCCCTTCAACACCACACAAACCCCACTGCACCTACGTCAGGGCCAAAACTAAGGTCTGTCCACGTGCTCTAGGAGCTAAGGAGTAGGTTTAACCCCACCAAGCAACTATGGAGACCCAAGCATTGAGCAGGGAAATCCAAGTACTTACCCACTGAACCTTGATGGGTGCATTGTCTAGAATCTTAATGGATCACGAAAAAGTGCCAAAATGGAACTCATGTAAAAATGTGAGATTCAAATTGTTAAACGTTAATCTATGGGGACCGAAGTGAAATTTTGCTTAAACTATAGGGACTATTAGTGTAATTCACCTTGCTAATTTTTTTAATACAAGTTTATGGATGATCTAACTCTTGATCTCCTATTAACATGAAATTTGGCAAACATGATTAGCATAAGAGAAGCATGTAATCTTATGAAAAGATTAACATATAAAAAGTGACAAAGTACAAAAAGTTATGGAGTAAAAAAAAATTGCGATACTAGTTGTAAATGGATCCCTCCTCTATATTGATTTAAGGGTAAATTATAAATACTAAGGTTTGTTTAACATATGAATTGGCCCTTCAAATTTCTGATTGCATAACAAATGACTAATTTTATTAATAAATCATTAAGTCAATTAACAATATTTAATGATATAATAAAAAAATTTCAATTAACAATTCTGGTGATTTTATAATTTTATAGGAAAGTAGTTGGAAATTTTATTTTTCTATTAATTTTGTTAAATAAAAAATTCTAACAAGGGGGTATTTGTATTTTTAATTTTTAAAACCACATAGAACAATTTATATTTTAAGCAAACCATTTATTTTATTTTATTTTATTTTTATTTTTTTTGTAATTTACCCATTAAATAAGCAATGAATTCATAAATATATTCACAACTAAATAAAAATAAAAAAAAAACTGCTACAAATTTATTTCATTTCCTCAATGCACATTTACACAAACAGCAAGTGTTTATATGTTGGGAAATAAATGAATAAAATTCATGGATTTACCTCGACAACAGTTCCTTTGAGTCCACTGACCAATATATGAGCCTTGCTAAGCCTAAACAAAGCAATCAAATTTCACTTTCAGAAAAACTCATGCATTGAATCAGTAAAGATTGAATACGAATTAACTCCATAAGACTAAGTTGAAACTTTTCGAAACTATATATATATATAAAGTAGGACCTTCGTTGAGCATCAGCGCCCCAAACCCTAATCTGGCGATCATACAATGCAGTTTCCTGCTCTGTCAACTCCTCGCCGTCCATTACCAGCTTCAACCTGAGATTCAGAGCGATTATACCTCGTCACCACAAACAATCACATAGATACGTGTACACATATATATGGGTGTTATATAGAGAGAGAAAGTGCGAACAGAGCAAAACCCTAGAACCAAAATCAGAAAAAACGGTGATGAGCTCGCTGTAAAGAGAAGACCACAGTGTGAGGAGGGAGTTTTTTTACTTTTAAGACTTCTGTTTAAAAAAATAAATAATAAAAACTCTTGTGTCGCACTTCGATTATGTGAAAAAAATAAATCAAAAATGTTAGAGATTCTGGCCTTGTTTTATTTGGCTTTGGAAAAAAAATTTGGAAAAAATTTTTAAAAATTTTGTTTGGTTTATAATTTTTCTCAAAAAATTTCTAAAATTATTTTTTTTTTCCTACATATCCATCAATCACTTTTTCTTTCTCATTTTTCCTTTTCAATCACTTTTTCTCTCATATACATCTACTCAATTATAACAAAATATCAAATCATCATAAACTCCCAAACTCTAAAACAATTTTTAAAATATACAACTAAACAAATTACAAAAATTTCTAAACTCTCTTTCCAAAATATTTTTTAAAAACTTATCTCCCAAAGTCAAACCAAACAAAGCCTCTAAGTTTTATCAAAATGTTTACTAAAAATCTTATATGGATGTGGGGTTTACATGTCCGATCAAAAAAAAAAAAAGATGTGGGGTTTTACATGGGATTCATAGGATGTGAGTTCTACACCCATGTAAAAAAATTTGAGATCTCTAACATTATTTATATTAAATATATTTTCTTAAATTTATTTAAAATATAGATTAATTTGAAAAATTACAAATATTCTATTGTTATAATTTTTTATTTAATAAAATTCTTAATTGATTTTCTATATAATAAAATTATTTAAATTATTAATTTAAATAAATTTCTAACATTATTAAAAATTATTAATTAATTTGATAATTTATTAATAAAAATAATTATTTATTAAATGTATACATTTTGAGACATTATTTAATAATTAAAAGCATATTAAAATAGAACAATAAATTTTAGGTCAAGATTTGCCTCTATTTACGCCATAAAAATCTTATTGAACTTTAACAACCTTTTATATTTTTATTATAGTTTTGTTCCTCTCTGAAAACCCTAAAAATTTGAAAAACACAAATTTTGTTCACCTCAATCACCCCGTCTCCTTAATCCACCACCAGTCAACATCTTTTTCTTCTTCCATATTCTCTACTAGGGGTGGGCAACGGTTTATCCGAACCGCTCAAACCGCCCAACCCGCATATAAGTGGGCGGTTTCTTTGCTTAAACTATAGGGACTATTAGTGTAATTCACCTTTCTAATTTTTTTAATACAAGTTTATGGATGATCTAACTCTTGATCTCCTATTTTTTCTTCTTCCATATTCTCTACAAAAACCCCAGGCCCTTCCCTCACCTCCAACATCTCACTTCCACTATTTTCCTTTCTTCATACCTACTACCCATTTCCCAAAAAGTTGTGAACCACTCCCGTCCTTTGAGGACGGATTCAGAATTATCACTTTGTAGATCAAAATATGTTTAACCTCTAATTAATAAAATTTAAAGTTTAATATCAATTCCTATTAACGTGAAAAAAATCAATAATGTACAATAAAATATTGAACTAGATATTTCTTGTCAACATAGTTAAGTATAAAAAGATGATCATATAATTGAGAATATTTTTTTGCCCATATTCACTTACAAAGAGTAGTAACTATTTCTACGTGCATTTATTTATTAAAATTAGACATTTTTAATTGATTGTCAGCTAATAAGAAGTCACGCTCTTTCATAATATCAAAGAGCCTAGTAAGACCAAAATAGATACTCATTACACTCAAACAGAGGGACGCCCTTAGGCCTCGTTTGGCAAGTAGTCACTAAAAAAATCAAAAAGCCAGCAATTTATACCAAAAAGTTAAAGATTCTTTTTTCTCTCTATTTTTTACACATCTTTTCGTAAAAATTTAAAAGTCATCCCAAACATACTAATTTTTTTTACATCATATTTTAACCAAAAAGCCAAAAAGTTACTAAAAAAACATGTTCTCAGACGAGGCTTTAATATTGGCACAATGAAAACAGTTTACATTGTACGGCATTGATGTAGAGTTCTACAGAAAGCTGGTAGATCCTAGATGCAATAACTGCTGTGTAGCGATACTAATTTTTTCTTGATTACTCTCTCTCTTTCTCTCTCTCTCTCTCTCTCTCTCAGCTTGCACAACCACACACAACACCACTCTTTTTGGCTTTGTTTTCTTTCTTCTAACTTCTAAACCTAATCCCTATTCTAATCTAATTTGACTATTATATATTATTATATTAAGAGAGTAAGAGAGGAGATGGAAGAAAAAGAAGAGATTAGGGTTTTCTTTTGGTGACTGCATTAATTCTCCAAATACTTCTTTGATCTTCAAAAAAATATTGTGAGTACAAAACCCACTTCCCTTGCTTTATGTTTAATTCGTTGTTTTTATTTATTTAGTTGATGTTAGTTTGATTTTGTATTTATATGAAGATGATAGATTGATTTTAATTATTTTGATTAGTTGTGTATGTAAGGTTTAGGGTTTTTAGATGATTGATTGATTTTAATTATTTTGATTAGTTGTGCATGCAAGGTTTAGGATTTTTATATGGATTTATTTTTTGATTGTAATCACACTCATGAATATATGAAATTAAAATAAATTAGGAACTCATAGATAAATTTATTACACTCCACTATGACTCCATGGATTGTTGTGATCCGTTGTTTGTGGCAGAGTTTTGGAGAGTTTTCAGCATGCTTTTGTGTGCTAGGTTAGACTTGAGCACGACTTATCATCCTCAGACAGATGGGCAAATGAGCGGGTAAATCAGATCTTGGAGGATATGTTGAGAGTTTGTATCCTCGATCTTGGTGGTAATTGGGAAGAACACTTGCCATTGGTGGAGTTTGCTTATAATAATAGCTATCACTCTAGTATCGGGATGGCACCTTTTGAGGCTTTATATGAAAGGCTAAGAGCTACGCTAATAGAAAACGTAAGGGGGTTGAGTTGAATATTGGAGATTTTATGTTTTTGAAGGTTACGCCAATGAAAGGTATCATGCGGTTCAGAAAAAATGGAAAGTTGGCACCTAGATTTGTGGGACCATACAAAGGTCACCACGAGGATTGGTAATGTGGCTTACAAATTAGCTCTACCACCTGCTTTAGCTATGATTCACAGCGTGTTCCATGTATCTTTATTGCGGAAGTGTGTGCAAGATCTTTCTCAAGTAGTATCACTAGAGGTGTTGGAGATCAGTGATGATCTAACGTATGTGGTGCGACCGGTTTCTATTCTAGACCGGGATGTAAAGCAGTTGTGGGGCAAGAAAGTGAACTTGGTTAAAGTGCAATGGAGCGAGGATGAGAATGATATCACTTGGGTATTAGAAGAGAAAGTTCAGCGTGTGCACCCGGAACTTTTTTCTTAGTACTCTCTCCTATCGAATCTCGGAACGAGATTTTTTTGAGGTGTGTATATTGTAGTGACCCTAATTTTTTTCGTAAGTCTTATTTATTATTACTTTATTTTATGTTTGGCTTTATTAATTGTGTGGATTCATGATAATTTAATGTGAAAATTAATTAATTTAATGTGTTATTTAATTAATTTATTAATCCATATATTTATATTTATTATATAAAAAAAGAGGTGTTATATATATATTTAATCTTATATTTATACTTATATATATTGCAATTATGTTATGTTATTTTATATAATATAATAATATATAATAGTCGAATTAGATTAGAATAGGGATTAGGTTTAGAAGTTAGAAGAAAGAAAACAAAACCAAAAAGAGTGGTGCTGTGTGCGGCTGTGCAAGCCGAGGGAGAGAAAGAGAGAGAGGGTAATCAAGAAAAAAGAGAGGGTCCTGTGCTGTGTATGTAAGAGAGATGGCAAGAGAGAAAGATAGGAGAGGGAAGAAAAATAAGAGTTTAGGGTTTTGTTTCGGTGACTCCATTAATTCTCCAAATACTTCTTTGATCTTCAAAAAAATATTGTGAGTACAAAACCCACTTCTCTTGATTTATGTTTAATTCATTATTTTTATTTATTTATAAACATGTTCTCAAACGAGGCTTTAATATATATTATGTTTAATATGAAAAACTTTCAATCAATTTCAGTTTAATTTAGTACACAAAATGCCTAAACCGGTACCGAATTAAAAATCAAAAAATATTAATTTTAAAAGTCACATAGACCGATTCATATTAAAAAACCGATCAAATAGCTAGTTCGGCTTGATTCAACCGGTTTGATCAGTTTTTTTGATTTTTCTTACATCCCCTCATATTAGCCTGTGGTTTAATCTGCTGAACTAAAACCAGTTCATTAGGAATTCAAATATGGATTGAGAGATTTGTTTCCTTTGTCAAGACATAGAGAGCCATGTTGCCAAGTTGAGAACATAATTATCTATTATCTGGGTTCAAGACAAAATCAGTGAAATTACTCCAAGAACGGGGCAAGGACTTAGCATTCATGGTTTTCGCAGACACAAAAATAAATAAATAAAAGATTCCAATGGTATTCAAAACTACAAGGCACACCGTTAATTAAAATTATTGTTCATGATCACAAAACAAGCATTTAGTGAAAGTGATGCAAGAAAATTCTTGGCTCCTAACGAAATTACTTTTCGCAAGCCTTGAACAAAAAAGAAAAATGCAAACAGTTTAAGCTTCGTACACCTTGCACTCCTCATCAGCAGGGTTGGTTTTGCAAAAATCCTCCAATGGGTCTCCACTTCCTTGTACAGGCATGCCTGGCCACTTGCTTGCTACCAGATGTGCCAAATCTACAACCCGTTGGCTACAAAAGACACAAAACACAGCCATTACAATACAATTACATTCTAAACTCAACAGAAATTACTCTGTTTTGATTCGGCATAAAACATTTTCCAATGAAAACATTTTCTATGGAGAAATTTTTCAGAACTGTTATTCCATAAAAAACATTTTTGTATGTTTGGTTGCTATCTTGAAACTAATGTGCTAGCGGTTGTATTATTAGTGTGATGTGATGGAGGTGGAGGTGGCACGGTGGTGGTGGTGGTGGAGGAGATGGAGGTGGTGGTGATGGTGATGGAGGAGG